AGGTGAACGCAGTCGTGCGACCTAGATTTTCATATGCATGGCAATAAGAGGAAAAGAGAGCGTTAAGATGAGAGAGGAAATGAATTGAACTGAGATGATACAAAGTGAGATGGGAGTAATGATTCTTTAACGATCCCGCGCAGCAGTCTCGCAAAAGAAAGTCTTTATAAACCACCCAAGCACTCTCCACTTCAGTATTTCCATGCATTTGCATCACCCAAAAATTTCACTTGTTGCTGATTCATATTATTAACATTTTACTTTCGTTCAAATGAATGGAGAATTTTTTTTTATATTTCTCACAATGCAGAATAGAATTTTTTTTTTCATTTAAAATAATTTTTTTCTTATTTAAGTTTTTTATTTAATTTTTATTTTATTTTTATTTTATTTTTAAAAATTTTTCAGTTTTGTTCCAACTGAAATTTATTATTTTTTAATATGTCTAAAATTAAAATTCATATATACAGTTATATTGAAATTTGAATACTTATTTTAATAAATATTTTTTTTTTGTTGATAAAGATTATTTTGAAATTTGAATCTCACCAAAGATTTTCAGTGAAATTTCATTTTTATCTTCTTACTCGAAATTTACATGTGGGCTTTTTACGATAGTTTCGGATTTCTCATTTTAAAAATAAATAATTATTCCAATATTTTGAGAAATTTTTTAAATACTTTTTTTCTAAATCTCTGTCGACTATTTCATTAGTTTTGTAGTTTTATTATTTAGAAATATATTTAAAAATATATTTAAAGATATATTTAAAAATAATAATAATTTTAAAATATTTTTGAATTAAAAAAATTTATAGGGCATTTTATGTAAGATTGTCTTTCAAAAAATTCTTTTTACTGGAATATATTTTTTCAAAATTTTTATGAAAAATAAGAAAATAAGTATTTCTTTTATTCGTTAAAAATTCGGAAAGTTAAGATTTTTTTTTAAATTTAATATATTTAGAAGCCGCAAGTACTTCTGTAAACGTTAAATTTAAAAAAAATCGTAACTTTTATCATTTTTATCAATTAAGGGAATAAAAAAATACATATTTTCTCCTTTTTTATAAAAATTTCGAAAAAAAATATTTCAGTCAATAAAAAATGTGAAATGAAAATCTCACGTGGAATGTCCTATTTAATAAACAGTGGAATTTTTTTTAACTTTTATAGTTTTAGTACAAAAAAAGAAGCAGAATATGGCTAAAAATTCATTTAAAAAAATAATGTATATAATAAAAATAATTGTTTTATTAAGACACAAATATAATTTTTTTGAGAAACAATATATATATTATTCAGTTATCCTGGTTGAGGCGATCGACATAAATATAGCACTTTCAAAGTAAATTGCATTTTTTTCAACGACTTTTGCAAGACAAGTTGTTAGTTCCTATATGTATATAATCATTGAACCAAAACGAAAAAATGAATAATGTTTTTTAATAATCAAAACTATACTGTAAAATGATTAAGTCTTAAGAAAACGTTATTTTGTTGTTAACATCATTAACATAATTATGCGAAAGTCTACATTTATTTCGAAATATTCCATAATTTTTTCAGTAACTCATAAAAGAATATAATTAACAATTAATTATGTAATAATACTAATAATAATAATAATAATAATAATAGTAATAATAATAATAACAATAATAATAAAATAATGTTAATTTATATTATTTAACTTATATAAAAATAAATAAATTTTTTCTTACAAAATATCACCAAATCGAAATATTTTCCACTACCTCTATTTGTAGACGAATTTTCATTTTCCGAATTAACATTTTACAGAATTTCTTTTTATACGAATTTTTACTTAACAAAATTTTTAGCTTTACAGAAATTTCAATTCACCGAATTTTAATTTATCCGAATTTTTATTTGTACACGAATTTTTAATTGATAGAATTTTAAAGATGCCGAATTTTTATTTTTTTCCGAAATCAAAAATGTCCGAACAAACAATAGATAGAAAGATTTCGGCACAATTTTTTGAAATTGTCCAATCACGATTTTCTTTGATAATTATATTATGTATAATTGATCAATTTTAAAAATTGAGCCGAAATCTTTCTGTCGATTGTTTGATTCGGTCATTTTGTAATTTCAGAAAAAATAAAAAATTCGGCGTCTTAAAAATTCTATTAATTTATCGCACTTTTTGTGTCTTTTTTCATGTATATATATAATATATTATTAATGGTTGCGAGGGAAAAAAAAAAAAAAAAAAAAAATCTCAAGAAAAGAACTATTAACTGTGCATTTCTGTAACCGCAAATTCCGTTTTAATTCCTTTCTGACTCGTCTAGTCTCTTCCTCATCGTCTTTTCCTCAAGGTCACCGAACTTTGAAGGTCCAACGAACTCGGACCTCCCTCACGGTTCAAGTACTGTGATTAGCGTGTCCAGTCAAGGATTGCCTATCGCTACCGGCATTTTCCAAGTCATCATCTCAAAAAAAAGAAAAAAAAAAAAAAAAAATGATCCTA